TACTAAACTTGCGTACGTAGTACTGACACTGCCGTATTGTGTACGAACGTACGAACGTACTAGTATACAGTCACTACTAAACTTGCGTACGTAGTACTGACACTGCCGTATTGTGTACGAACGTACGAACGTACTAGTATACAGTCACTACTAAACTTGCGTACGTAGTACTGACACTGCCGTATTGTGTAAGAACGTACGCAACGTACTAGGCCTACTAGTACACAGACACTACTATACGCCTATACCACCCTTGCGTACGTAGTACCGAACCTGGCGTATTGTGTACGAACGTACGAACGTACGAACGTACTAGTATACAGGCACCACTATACACCCTTGCGTAAGTAGTACAGACACTGCGGTTATGTCTGCAAAAGTCATTAGTGATTTGAACCCATAATATCAGTGAGAAAATCGATACTTTTTAGAGGGTTATTTACCTGACGCCAAATTTCTTTATGAATTGCGAAACATCACTACGCTCACTGTATAAAGTTATATAGAAAATGCCAGGAAAACTGAAAACTAAGGCAACATTCTTAATCTTAAAAAAGTTTGCCAGGAACTAAAGTGTCTGAAAAATCTCTTCCCAGAAAAAAATTCGTACAAGAACAGGTAATTAGAAGAAAACAGACCCCGCGTTGGCTCCTCCTGAGTAAGGCACAAGCTCRAAAGTTTCCATTTGCTATAATCAATAAGCGCAGTTGTTAGAATTCATAAATAATAAACATCCAATGAAAGCAAAAAAAACATATATCCCACCCGGTTSACAGAAAACGATCTTCATCGCTAATTCACAGACGTGCATAAYATAACAGTTTTAGATCGGCTACAAGCGGGCTTGCACACACAATATTAGGWRAGSAAGATGAATTGAAATAGCGTAKCAATATTACTTTCGCAAAAACATTAAAATGGTGAAYAATATTTTTGTCTATGATTGTGGAAAATATAWCAAGCTTGAACTGTGCTTGTTTACAAAATCGAGTAACACGCAAAACTCTTCCATAAAAATTCAATAGTTAGAATTAGCTATTCGTTTTAGGCAACTTAACATACTTTTATTGCACTATTTTTTAACAATATCGTATCAAAAGATAAAAAATATTTTGTAAAAATGCTACAATAGAGTTCTGTTGGCAAATTCTTTTGTTTTTGATATATCTAATTTCATCTATTATGCGCGCGAYCCTTAATTCATATAAGCGCAGAACAAAGTGCTAGYATATTTTTGATTAGTATCCAGCAACTTATATGGTATATTACGAATMGCGCCCTCKCATTGGCTGCTCAACCATGGTCTATTGGATGATAGCTCATGGMTGGAGACAACAAGAATGGCGGAGCGCTCGTAAATTCAATTCTCAGTTGTTTTGGCAATAGAAATATTWCTAAAAAACGATCAATATTTTTGTTTTGTACCACTCCAATGGCTTTTCAGTATTTTTACTGACAAACGGGTTCAAACCGGTTTTTTAGTGCGAGTTTGCAACGATGGTCGGAGGACGGCAAACTTGCAGTCAAACTATAAGACTTGAATTCTTAAAATTTCTACAGTTTTCCTCTCTTATCTTGATTAGAAATATCATCTATGAAATATAGACTTTGAGGAGTTGTTACTAAAAAATTGAAAACAAGTTTAAAGTCTGATTTTGAGACTCATTTCAACGAGCGAGTGAAGTCCGTAGTACTTGTCAAGCATGATCAGGCCTGCTTCGTGTTTACTTTAGAAAGAAAGCGTACTGGTGAATAAGGATATTTTCAATMAARAACTAGCTGGGATAACTCAATACAGAAACACTTAATATATTATTAATCCTAAAATTTGAACGAAACGGAGCCCGTTATTCGCAGCGGAGTTATTCATCTTACTACAATTTGAAGACTCTGATAAGTGAAAAGTTCTTTGTTTTGTTAACATGAACCGCGCAATCTCGAGCCCAGAGTCTTTTCGGCTAATGTCAGCGGTATGCTGACGCCGGATGGCAAAAGTGCGGGCTCTGGGTACGAGATTGTGAACCGCGCAACATGTTTGTCGACCGACGCTGATGTATGAGCCTGCCAAGATGGCGGCATTCATGTCGGTAATTTCAATTTCTCTCTTATCGTTGAAGATGCGCCAAAATCCCTTGGTAATCCCTTGGTAATCATCAGCTCACACACACTGAGATTTTTGATTGACTGTAGTCCAGGCATTTTAGAATTTGACCCGGAACAAATTGCAACAGTAGCTATCTCTTCAAATATCTTTT